GATTGGGGTGTCTGTGTCCTGGGAATAGTACCATTTAGACCTAGTTCTTGTTGTGGAGATTCCCCTGGATCTCTGCCCATTCAGTGCCAGTAGCACCCTTCCCTAGCAGTTGTTAACAACCAAAAAGTGTCCCAAGACATTACCTCGTGCCTCCTAGGGACCCAAACTCGACTTAGTTGAGAACTGTTGTAAAGGAATTAATAAACCGAATTTTGTTGTTTATGAAGTTTTAAGTTTTGATAGGAACAAAATGATCCGTGTATGACGTTTGTTTTTCCTTTTGGATGTATTTAAATCTAAGCACTAATAAACATATCTCCAAGAGGCCATAAAGGAACTGGGGAGAAAAGCATAGTGTCAAAACAGTTTAGATAATGCCTGGGTAGGTGAACCATTCAGTCGCTGTCACAGTGCTGAGGGTGTGTGTGTGTGTGTGTGTGTGTACATACATGTGGATGTACATGTGTGTACATGTGGGTGTGTCTGTACATGTGTACTTGTGCTTGAATTCAGGTACTTGAACAGTGAGTGTCTGAGATATTTTTATTTGTTCATTTTGCAAGAGAGAACTTGGAGGGCTCCTTAAACCTTGTCTTGTGTGTGTGTAGCTTAGGTTTCCTTGGAATTGGCGTCCTCTGAAAGTGGCCAGCATGTACAGATCGTGCTACATGTCTGGGACCACGCCCAACTGCTTAAGAGACTCTTACATAAAGGCCTTTAGTCACTTGAGGAGTGGTGGGCTCCCTGGCTTTGTTAATTTTTTTGTTGTTCCTCTTTTGTTTTAATAACTTGTATATTGTTTTATAGCAAGAATTTTGTTAATTGCAAGATGCCCTGAGGGCTTCTCATACATCTTCCACATGCCTTCTCCCCTGCAAACCTGTCCAGTTATGGGAGGTGGTGGCTTTCATGGGAGGCTTGAGCACATTTTGAGTGGTTTACTAGTGCCCAGGTTCCTTGTCAGCATTCCACAAACGGCATAAGGAGAGCAGTCCAAGGACAGGTTTTCTTCAGTTACAGGTGGTGTGGCGGGAATTCTTGCTTCTGACTAGCTTTGTGTGTTTGTAGTGTTCTCGTGAGCCGCTCAGCCCATTTTCAAATGCTTCTTGGCTTTTACCATGGACAAAATTTTGACCTAAAGTGACTTGTGAGTTTGGGGTGGTTCCTGCCTTGATCCTTCATTTTCCTTTTTCTTCCCTTCTCCTTTCCTCTTTTTCTTTTTTTTTTAAGTTAAAAAATTTTTGTTATTTTTATTTTATGCGTATGAGTGTATTGCCTGCATGTGTGTGTTGTGCAATGCTTGGGGTGGTCAGAAGAGGATGTAGGATTCCCCTGGAACTAGAGTTAACAGATGGTTGTGAGCAGCCATGTGGGTGCTGAATAGAACCCAGGTCCTCTGCAAGAGCGGCCAGGGCTCTTAACCGCTGAGCATCTCTCCAGCCCCTCTTTTTCTTCCTTTTTTCTCCCCCCAAACTTTATTGCAATTTTCTCAATAAATGTTTTTTCCTACACTTACTTTTGGGGTATATATGTATGTGGTATGAGCATGTGTCTATTCACATGTGTGTGGGTGCACATTAGTGGGCGTGAGTGCATATGTACTTGTGTATTCATGCACATTGAAGCTGGAAGTTGACATTGTGTGTCTTTCTGCTTCTATTTATTGAAGCAGTGTCTCTGACTGAACCCAGAGTTCACCAGTTAAGGCTATTCTAGCTAGCAGCTTGTCCCCCCACCCTCTGTTAGGGGTTACAGGTGACTGCCCTGCCTGACTGGCGTTTATGTGAAGTCCTTTCTTCAGGCTTGAATGGCAGGTGCATTACCCACTGAGCCACCCCTTCCGGCTCCCCGTTCTCACTTTTCTCTCTTTGCCCTTCTCTCTTCCCTGCCCCTTCTGTCTTCCTTCCCCCTTCTTTACCACCATAAGAGCTCCTGGTACTGAGACTCTGTAAGCCCCTTGTGTTGATGGGGCTTTTCTGTTTGATACCAAATTCACATGACACAAAATCAACCATTTAAAAAATGGCATAGTGCATCTGTGTAGCCATTGCCTTTAATTCTAAAGCATTTTCATCACCCCCCATTTAAGATGCAGTAATCACTAGACACTGTCCCAGTTTCATTTCTGTTGCAGTGATAAAATATCCTGACCAAAAGCTACACAGGGGAGGAAAAGGGTTTGGTTTGTCTGGCTCGCAATTCCAGGTTATAGTCCCTTGTTGTGGGGAAGTCAAGGCAGGAATTTAAAGCATCACAGCCACTGTCAAGAGCAGAGATCCTTGCTTGTTTGCTCATGCTGTGAACTCACTTCCTTCACTCTTACGCAGTCCAGGGCCCAGCCTGTGAAGTGACTGGGCTCACATTCAAGGTGGCTCTTTCCACCTCCGTTACCCATCAAAACAGCCCCCGTCCCCCGCAGGCCTACAGGCCAACCTAGACAATTCCTCCATTGAGACTCCTCACCTCTCAGGTGATTCTAGGTTGAGACAAGGCGACATTTAAAACTAACCACTATGGGCAGTACATTTGTATCCCCACCTGATTCACTCCCCTGACCACCCTACCCCCTCCGGCAGCTGTTAATCTGCTTTCTGTCTTTATGGGTTTTCCCTGTTCTCTGTTTAAACTGGGCCTGCGGGAGAGGGTTGTGCTGTGACCACAGCCCTTATTTGGGCTTCAACAGTCTAGGCAGCTAGGACTCAGAGTGGTTTCTCTTTTAGGTAGCAGTTTGATGCTTTCGTAGCATTTCAAAGACTTTGTATTAAAGATATTTATGTGCATATTGTTTATCTTCTTGTCTTAGAACTGTATAAAATAGTAATCAGAAGATCAGAAATTTATGTATTTGTAAAGATCACATTTGTGCCTTTTTATATGAAAACAGGGCTGCTCAACGCCCTTTCATGGGTCCATTTCACTTTAAGAACACCAAGAATGACACTTGTGTAATCTGAGCACTTCAGAGGGTGAGGGTGGGATAAGAGGATTACAGATTCTAGACTAGTCTGAGTTACATAGTGAGTCTCTCAAACACATCAAAAAAGAAGAGGAGGGAAAGAAGCACTAGAACTTTAAAATAAATAAATAAAATATGCTGGCACATGCACATTTGCCCAGCATTTAAGAGGATTTCAAGTTCCAAGCCAGCCTGGGCTACAGAGCACCCTCATACCCTGAGTTTTTTCTTTTCTTTTTTTTTTTTTTTGAGGTAAAACATTGCCATTTTGTAAATTGTAAAAACTTAAGTTAGCATTAAAATTAAATGTTAAAGACATTTAGCATTATGAAACTTTTACTATAATTGTAAATGTTAATCTTTTAAAAATGCTTGCTGTAGCACCCATTTTAAAGAAGTTTTGTCTCAGTTCATAGGTATATTTTTTTGAGTAGTTACACTCAAAAAAAAAAAGAAAGAAAGAAAACAGGGTTGCTCTACCACTGCCTGAGGGACAGACCAGGCCATCTTTGGTTTGGGGGAACTATCCTTTACATTGTCTAATTTGTAGCCTTGATCTAACAGGTGTTTGAACCCCTCCCCACCTCCCCAGTTGTGACAACCAACATGGCAAAATGTCCTCTGGGACAAATTGCTCCTGGTTGACAAGTGATAACTGAAATCTTTCTTCTTGAGATTCTGACTTTTTCTTTCAGTGCAATGTGACTTTATCATGAGTTAGAAGAGGTGATAAAGAATTGTTCGGTCACCTGTGGAGTGCAGTCAGTCACTGCTGTTTTTAATCATCCCCTAAACTGTTGCTACTCTTTAAAAACAAATATTTTAGTTTCAAATTTTGAGGTTTTGTCAGTACTGTGTTGTTTGATTACATAACATTCACTCCTGGTTGCTTGTGTTATGCTGAAGGAATTCGACTTGATTGCTTAAGTACTTTCATGGAAAAAGTAAATACAGAATTTGAATTTGTTCAGAAATATTTGAAGCATTGAAATTATTTTAAAGTACATTGAATAAAGCATTCCAAGTTTAGGAAAATGGGGAAAAATTATTTTCACACACAATTTCCTCCTTTAATACCAAAACAGGGCAGCTGTCTTCTAGCAATTGCACTGGCTTGCTGATAATTCAGCCTCTCCCCTTTGGGCCTCCTCACCTGTTCTCTGAGTCTAAAAGGCTCTTTCATTACTGTTTGATGCTTACTATCTGTCACATGTTAAATGGATTACATTTGGAAAGGACTATTTAATATGATCTAATATTTGTTTAAAAATGTTGGTATTGGGGTTGGAGAGATTGCTCAGCTGTTAAGAGTGCATACTGCTTTTGCAGAGGACCTGTGTTTGTTCTCAGTACCCATGTAGGGTGGTTCATAACCACCTGTACCTCCAGCTCCTGGGGATCTGATACCTTTCTGGCCTCAGTGAGCATTTCACTCATGCGAACCTCCCCCTCTCCCCACATACATAACATATATATATATATAATTTTTTTAATCTTAAAAAAATGTAGACGTTACGCCTTTCTCTTCATTGGTATTTTTCTTAGATACAACAGGTCTCATCATAGATTCTCTGTAGGTTTGAAAAGCATAGGTTTGTCCTGCTATGAGCCAGTTTTCTAAGTAGTTTTTGCTTTTATATATAATTACTGGCATGTAATTGGGGACAGGCTTTAGAGAAAATAAGACAGAGGTAGTGAGAGCCAGCCAGGAGAGGAGTTTACTGCACTATCATTAGGTAATTTCTGTTCTTAGTACCTTTGAGAGCTGTTGTCTCAGCTGGATCAAATGCTGAATAAGGTTCTGGGAAGAAAGAAAATCATACAGAATACAGCTTTGACAGAGTAAAATTCAGCTTCCAATAACTGTGTTTCCATTTCGTGAAGGATGAGGTAAATGTTGTCTGTGTGCAGTTCTTTATAGCTAAGCTTTTCCTTCAAAGTAGAAAGAGAAGTTAATGTCTTAAGCTTATGGGAAGCCTGAGATTGAGCCATGTCTTTCTCTGTCTCGCTCTCATTCAGTACCTTCTCCTTTTTTCTTCTTCAGGGACTATGTCAGGAGTGAACTGGAGTCTGCCTATGAGGGACCAATGTATTTAGAACCTCTCTCCATGAATCGCTTTACCACAGCCTTAATAGGTATGTATTGTTAAAGAGTTAAAATATAGGTTAGGAACCAATGTGTCTTACCATCATAGAACAAAATTGACTCATAGTCACTTAAAAAAGAAAACCTCAACATGATTAATTGACTGTCTAGATAAAGCCAGTGCTTTATTGTTGTTTGGTTTTGTTTGTTTGCAGTTAGGGTTTGTTGTTGCTGTTTATTTGTTTTGTTTTGCTTGTTTGAGAGGGGGTGGGTTTTGCTCTGTAACCCAGGTTCCTGCTGTGTAACTCTGGCTGGTCTCAAACTCCTGATCCTTCCTGATTCAGGTCTTCACAGGCATATGCTACCACACCCTGCAGTAATTGTCATTGTTCACAGGCATACGCTACCTCACCCTGCAGTAATCGTCATTGGTAATGACATCCTTTCTTTATTCTGAGGCAGTGACTCCTATGGCCCAGACTAGGTTTGACTTATCAGATAGCCCAGGGCTGACCTGGAACTTCCTGACCTTACTGCTTTCCACATCCTGAGTGCTAGTGTTTCATGTGGTGTTGGAGTTTTAGGCGGTGCTGGGGATTGAACTCAGGGCTTTGTGCATGCTAGGCTACATCTCTACAGCTACATCCCTAACCCATATATATTTTCTTTTTTTTTAAAACTCTGTGTGTGTGTGCGTGTGTGTGTGTGTGTGTGTGTGTGTGTGTGTGTGTGTGTGTCTACCCTCAGGCCACGGTGTCAGAGGACAACTTGTGGGAGTTGCTTTTCTCCTTCTGCCATGTGGGTCCTGGGACTCAAACTCAGGTCATCACATTTGGCAGCAGATGCCATATCTTACCAGCCCCTGTGTTGTATTTTCTTAGTTGTTTAATTCCTCCACGTGTTGGTTTTTTTTTTTTTATTATTATTATTTATAATCATATCAGAAATAGTTCATAGAAGCTTGTGGTTCTTAAAGGGTTTTTAGGTACTGGGGACGAATAAATCTTAAACAGCTAATGATTACTTTGAAAGGTTAAAGTGAATTCGATGTCTCAATTTACTTATTGTGATGATGTCAAAATTTAGTTACTGTGCTGATGTCTCAGTTTACTTACTGTTGTTGAAAGTTATTGTCAAAAATAAATTGTCAAAACTGTCAAGACCTTGAGATTTGATTGAGGGCTTCACATAGCATATGTTAAAAATAGGTGTTGGCTAGGGCCTGAAAACAATGTCTAAAGTGAGCTCCCCGACCCCACTGTGCCAGAGAGCCAGCAGAGGAAGTGAGAGAGAAGGATGTGTTCTGTGGGTCTTGAACTAACCCTCTGAAGGACTTCAAAAGGAGATTGAAGGAAAATTTCCTCGGAGTGAGCTCTGCTTTCCGAAATACCGCCTCAGCCCTTTGCATGTGGAGGATTCGGTGGTGGACCATGGGAAGAGTCGTGTTTCTGAGGACTGATCGAGAATCTGAAGCTGAGCACGCGAAATGTGGCTCCTCCACATTAAATGTTCCATTGGCGTAGGACATACGCTCAGTTTTCACCTAGTACAAAAAAGGGTATAAAACGACCCTTCTTGATTTTTTTAGTATACATTGAATATATATGTGATGATATTTGGGGAAATAAGTGGTTATATAAGTATACTGTTACTTGATTTTTTTTTTTTTTACTTGCTTAAGAGGCTACTAGAAAATTTCAAATTACACTTGTGGCCCCTGTTACCATTCAAATGTGATTTAAAAAAAAAATGGTTGGATTTTTGTGTGTGTGTGTGGAGTGAAAATTCCTTTCAAGGTTGTTCTACATTTTCTGAACTGTGGAGGCAAAGGATGGGTCTCCTGAGGCTGGAGAAGGGTCCCAAAAACCTGTATGGGGTTTTTCTTAGGCCTTGTTCAAAAGGGCCCTGAAGAGGAGGAGACCCCTACAGGAGCTGAATTTGAGATTCTCAGAAACTTGTTAAGCCTGAGAGAAAGATCGGTCTTATTATCTCAAGCACCATAGCATTATGAGTTCAGCCAAACAGAAATTTACCTATGTCCCTTCTCCAGCCCAGCTCAGTCAGAGAAGAGGGAGAAGCCAGCACAGCTCTCCTTCCCCTCTTCCAGTTGCAGGGTTTTGGTCTGTCTTAACCAAGGCGGAGAGGCCCCCTCTCTGCTGCTGTCTCCTCATTTCCTCCTCCTCCTCTTCCTTGCCTTCATTTCATTTGCTTGTATGTGTGTGTTTAAAGATTTGAGTCAATTTTTTTTTTTTTTATCTTTTTGACAGGGTCTCCCTGTAGCCCCAGCTGCCCTGGAACTCATTATGTAGACCAGGCTGGCCTTGAATTCACAGATTCACCTGCCTCTGCCTCCCAAGTGCTGAGATTAAAGGTGTATGACACCATGCCCGGCCAAGTTAATTAGTTTTTTTATTTTTATTTTATTATTTTTTTAAAAAATATTTTTATTATGTGTGTATAAGTGTACTGCCTACATGTGTGTGTAAGTGCACCCCAGTCATGCAGTGCCCACAGAGGTCAGAAGAAGGTGTTGTATTCCCCTGGAACTGGAGTTACAGATGGTTGGTAGCTCAATTATTATTTTTTTAAAAGATTTATTTTTAATTGTGTGGAGGGGGTGTTCATATGAATGCAAGTTCTGGTAAGAGCTAGAGGTATGGGATTCTCCTCAAACTGGAGTCACAGGCTACTGTGGGAGGTGGGAATCAAATTCAGGTCCTCCAGAAGGGCAGTATGCACGCTTAACCACTGAGACATCTCTCCAGCCCAACTTGCTTGTTTTTTTATTGAGACAGAGTCTCACTCTACTTCAGGCTGGTCTGGTTATATTCTTCCTATCGGTGGCTGAATTAAAATATAGTTAGTAAAATAATGACTATGAAATATTTCTTTTAATCTTAATTATTTTTATTTTATGTGTATGAGTGTTTCGTCTGCATGTATTTAAGTGTGCCGTGTGTGGGCAGTGCCTGCAGAGGCAGATGAGGGCATGGGATCCCCTGGAACTGGAGTTAGAGATGGTTGTTTGCTGTCATGTGGGTACTGGGAACTGAACCTGGGTCCTCTGGTCCTTTGCAAGAGCAGCCAGTGCTCTTACCACTGAACTATCTCTCCAACCCCCTTTATTTTTTGAGACAGGGTCTCATTATGTAAACCACTCTGGCCTGAAACTCACAGAGATTCACCCGCCTCTGCCTCTTAAGTGCTAGGATTACAAATCTGTGCCACCACACTGGCTCTCACGTTGATTTTAAAGTAATTTCTACTTGTCTGCAATGAATGAGCTTTTGAGTTGGAGATACAGCTTGTGGTAGGACACTTAACTCATATGGTCAGGACCCTGTGTTCCATCCCCAGCACCCCATAAAAGAAAAGGAACACACACAGACAAGCAGGAATTATATGCTTTTAAAAAAAGCAAATCCATTTGAATATGCAAACTTCCTAGAGCTATTCTAATGGTAAAGTCCTGAAATCAGGAGTAAGTTGTGAATCAGCAGTGTAATCACAGTTGGAATGTGCAGATCACTGAACAGACTTACTCTTTGGAGCTGCAGGTGAGAGTCCAGTAACACTATGACTCCTTCCTGCTCTGCTAAAACAGGATGAATAGTCCTCTCAGAGAACGTGTCTGAGTCATGGTCTCTGAAAGATAAGGGAAGCCTCTGTGATGCCAAGCTCGACCTGCTGGTGCTGGCCTGGCCTGAATTTAGGGGAGTTTCAGAGCTGGGGGAAGTTTACGTCAGTCTAAAGGGGAAGTTTGGGGATCAGGGCTCTGAGCACAGTAAAGAAAAATCTGCCAGAATGCAAATTTCTCATCATCGCTGGTCTTTAAGCATTTCCTCCAACTCCCCACCAGCTTTCACTTTCTGATTCTGAATTTTTTAATCGAAGAAGTACACTTAACTCTTACCATCAAGACTGCTTTAATTTTATGACGAAAATGAGCTTCCCCCTGCATCACCCCACCCATACTCCCTGTAGGTCCCCAGAGACCTCTGTCCATGGTCCTTTCTTCCCTGCTGTTTTCTCTACCTCCTGGAAATCCTGATAATTAGGTTTGGAGCGCCATCTCAGGCCCTGGTTTTCGCACTGTTGGATTTGTCTCTTGCCAGCTTTTCTCTCCCTCTCATGTCTCCCATCTTCCTTGTTGTTGATGTGCTGGCAGTGTTTTGGTTGTACTTTGTAACATTCGCCACCTCTCCTGTCTACTTTTGAGGGTTTGCATTTTTAATTTTTGTTCTCTTTTTTTCTTTTTTTAAAATATTTTATTTATAGCCAGGTGTGGTGGCGCGCGCCTTTAATCCCAGCACTCGGAAGGCAGAGGCAGGTGGATCTCTGTGAGTTCAAGGCCAGCCTGGTCTGCATAGTGAGTTCCAGGACAGCTGGGGCTACAGGGAGACCCTGTCTCAAAAAGACAAAAAAAAAATTTTATTTATTATTTTTACTTTATGTGTATTCGTATATTGCCTGCATGTAGGCAGGCAGTAGAACAACTAGTGTTCTTAAGTGCTGAGCCATCTCTATTTTTCATATTTTTTTATTTTATGTGTATGAGTGTATTGCCTGCATGTATGTAAGTGCACCTGTGTCATGCAATACCCACAGAGGACAGAAGAGGGTCTCTGATTCCCTGGAACTGGCATTACAGATGGTTGTTAGCCGCAGTGTGGTGCTGGGATTCGAACCTGGGTCTTCTGCAAGAGCAGCCAGTGCTCCTAACCGTTGAGCCTTCTCTTCAGCCCCTGTTTTTCATATCTTAAAAAATTTTGTTTCTTGGATACATCATTTATCTTTTTGAAGGACTAAGTATTTTGAGACTTTGTTTTGTTACTGTATTTTTGTTTTTGTTTTTTGAGACAGTGTCTCACTATGTCACTCTGCCTGGCTTGGAACTGGCTCTGTCTCCCAAGTACTGGGATAAAAGGCATGCACTTCCTTGCCTGGCTTTTCTTTTGCTGCTTATATTCACTCCATTTCCTCTGCAATCTTTTTCTGTTCGTTTTGGTCATTGTCATTCATGGTAGAGCAGCGTTTTTTTTCAAGCTAGCATTGGAATCACTTGGATATATATTTTTTAAAAAGATAAATATTCTTATGTCTAGGTTACATCTGAGACCGATGAAACTGTTTTACTTACATGTCCCAGGGGCCTTGACTAACCTATTTGTGTTAAAGGAAGTTAGTAAGTGAGCGCTCTGTTTAGAACTTCCCAGCAGGTATGTTCTACAGAAGACAGCAAGCAGGACTTGCTGTTTTTAGGGGCTAGCCCAAGGTATCAGTGTTGGTAGATCTTTTTACCTGACTGGTCAGCCTCCTGGGAAAGGATTCCTTCCTTGACTACTGAGAACAGTGCCGCCTTGGGATCCTTAGAAGTGCGGCTTTGTGTTTTAAACACCTGTTTAACTTTTTAAAGACTTGACTTGATCCTCTTAAGCCAGACATGGTGGCACATGCCTTTAATCCCAGCACTCATGAGGTAGAGGCAGGCAGATCTCCGTGAGTTCAAGGCCAGCCTGGTCTCCATAGTGACTACAGGGAGACCCTGTCTCAAAAAGACCAAAAAAAATGGTAGAAAGTCAATAAGAAAAATAAGCATCTTCATAAGCATCCTCTGTACAAGGTAGCTTATTTCTAAAATACTGATGGTGTATGTCAAAGTTTTTAAAAATGTTTCTTCCACCAGACTTGGTGGTGTACACCTGTAATCCCAGGACTGCTTGGAAAACTGAGACTGGAGGATGCTGACCTTGAGGTCAACCTGGGTGAAAGAGCAAGATTGTCTCAAAAAAAAAAAAAAAATTCTGATCCAATTTTAGGATTTAGCCTAAGAAAATATTAGGAAACGTGCCCAGTCATAAGCCTGCTCAAGTATTTCATAAATGTATAAGCTTATTCATGCAAAATATTTTATAATGATGCAATATTGGGCAAAGGCCAAATGTACCATACAACTAGTAAAGATAGCTGTATATTATTTAGAGAGAGACTTAAAGTTGTATTAAGTGGAAAACAATTCTAAGTGTGTACACTGTCATCTCTGTGTACAGTATTAGTATCTAATCGGGCTAGAGAGATGGCTTGGCTGAAGAGTACGCACATTCTGGCTGCTCTTGCAGAGGACCTGGGTTCAGTGAAAGTGCTGCCTGTGGATGTGAATGGAGGAGATTGAAGAGTTCCCAACAGTCTACCATGATTGTATGTAATCCTCAGTCCTCTGAGGAAAAAGAACTATGTAAACTTTTATATACTAGATTTCATAATTGGGATATTTGGGGAGGTTTACGTGGTTTAATGAAAGGTTAAAAATCCTCAAAACAAATACCTTGTTGCAGTGTGATATTAGGCAAGGAACTTTTCTCTTGGATTTTCTTATACTCTTAACAGTTCGGAATAGTTAAGCATTGAATACTTTTGGAAAAGGATCTTTGTATGAACAAAAGCAACTGAACTATTGCGATACTGTTGAGGTGTAGGCCCTTTGGGTTTTTTTTTTTTTTTGGTTTTTTTTTTGGAGGGGGGGTCTTTTTGAGACGGTCTCCCTGTAGCCCAGCTGTTCTGGAACTCACTGTGTAGACCAGGCTGGCCTTGAATTCACAGAAATCCGCCTGCCTCTGCCTCCCGAGTGCTGGGACTAAAGGTGTGCGCCACCATGCCCGCATGTTATTTATTTATTTTTTGAGACAGGGTCTCTCCTGTTGCTTCAGCTGCCTTGGAACTCACCATGTAGACCAGGCTGGCCTCAGTGTCACAGCGCTCCACCTGCCTCTGCCTCCAGAGTGCTTGGATTGAAGGTATGTGCCACCAAACTGAGCCAAAAATTTGATTACAAGTGTGATCAAGAACAGTAGAATTTTATCCAGTTTCTGTTTTCAGATGAGCTTTAGGGAATGAGTATTCCAGATTTGCAGACTGTACAAATACGTAATTGTATTCACATGGGGTTAAGATATTGTCCAACAGCCAGGCATGGTGGTGCACGCCTTTAATCCCTGCATTCGGGAGTCAGAGGCAGGTGGAGCTCCGTGACATCAAGGCCAGCCTGGTCTACATACCAAGTTCCAGGCCAGCTGAGGCCATAGGGAGAACCTGTCACAAAAAGACCAAAAAAGAAAGTTGTCCAACAGAGAGCAACTTGCTGTGGGAGCTGAGGGTCCTGGGGATGGATCTCAGGTCTCCTGGCTTGGCTGCAAGCACCTTTATATGCTGAATCATCTTGCCATCATGTATTCTCATCCTTGGCGGCATTGGGCTTTGTTTTATGGATTAGGAGCATTAAGTGCCCTCGACTTCCCATTTCAGGTCAGTTGGTGGTATGCACCCTGTGCTCCTGCGTCATGAAGACGAAGCAGATTTGGCTCTTCTCTGCACACATGCTTCCTCTGCTGGCACGGCTCTGCCTCGTCCCTCTGGAGACCATTGTTATTATCAACAAATTCGCTATGATTTTTACTGGATTGGAAGTTCTCTATTTTCTTGGATCTAATCTTTTAGTACCATATAACCTTGCAAAGTCTGCATACAGGGAATTGGTTCAGGTAAGAGTGATGGGCACACATGGACGTCCTCATTAAGGCTCTAGTTCATCTTCAGTCGTGGCTATGGCCACATTCTTCTTCATGGTTTCAAAGCACCTGGGCTAGAGGGATGGCTTAGCCGGTGAAGGCTCAGGCGACAACCCGAACATCAAAGCAACACCTGTTTTCAACTGGTTTTTCTTGGGGGGATGGAGAAAAGCGAAGTGATTCTCCAGCTGCACAGTATTTGGGTTCATATCCCGAGGCTGCTGTTTACCATCTACAGGAACCTGGCATAATCACCTCTCTTCACTGTCTCTAAAATGGAGCTAATAATAACAGCGTGCTTTCCTCAAAGGGTTGTTGTGAGATTCAAGTGAGCTCAGTGCCAGGCAGATGATGTTCATTAAGTCTTACCTATTGTCCTGAAGACAAAAACCAAAGAATCAGATAACTGGAGGGCGCATCTTGCTGTATTTCTCCTGATTATATTCCTACTGTATTTCAGTTCCTTTCCTTTGTTTACCTAATTTATTCAGACTCAAAAGTGAAATGGGTTTGTGTTGTGTTGTGATGGATTTCACTTACAAATCCAAGTGCTTTGCTTGAGAACAGAACCTGCTTGTGATAGTTTTTCTCCCTTTTCAAGCCTTTGCTTTAAGTCAGGTTATTCCCAGATACGAACGGTAGACATTTGGGGGATAAATGTTTCTGTTTGATCCAAGTGATAAGTTCCATTGTAAAAATAGAGCTGAAACCTCACATTGGTTAGGGAAGAGTGTTGATCTGGCCGTTCTACCTCCTGACTCTGTATGTGACCTTAAGGGTTAGGAGGCTCTTGGGTTGACCAAATCAGCGCCACTTGGAGAGGTGTTTTTTGTGCCCTGGGAGCAGAGTTTTGAGGAACATCTCCCTAAGCTCTTGGCCTTGGCCTGAATCTACCTGATTTCTTCAAACACAGTGAATTAACTTTGGTAGTCTCCCAGAAGTAATCTTTGAAGAACAGAGATTTCCTCATACTCAGTGTCCAGTGTTACATGGGGAGGTTTGTGGTTGTGTTCAGGATAAGAATGCCGGCTTTAATGTACCATCTGTATTTTTTCTTTGGATTTCATCATATGGCTCATTGCTGCTTTATGGTAAACAACAGCCATTTAGTAAGCCTTTCTTAGTATTGGATATTTAGTGTCCATAAGACAAAGACTCCATGTCTCAGTGTTGTGGTTGCTATAAGATTCAGGTATCATCAGGTGAGATGGTTGAAAATAAGTTACAGGTTGTAACATTTATGATAAGGAGAATTACCTAAGCAAGAAATGGAAAGTGTGTGATTTTTAAGTGGGCTGTTGTTTAGAAACGAGGCACCATCCTGTCACTTTTCTTAGCCAGTTTGATTCTCGTGGTAATTTTACAGCTAATTAAGCAATTTCCAAGAAAGTTTTTCTAATTGGGAAAAATAGAAATGAATTTTGACTAGGTTATAGAAAGAGCATTTGCTTTACTGATGCAAAGCTTAGGCTTAGAGTAATCTCAGATATAGGGCTAGTGGTTAAAAGAGCTTACTTTGCTTACAGAGAACCTGGTTCAGTTCCTAGCACTCATATGGCAGCTCACAACTGCCTATAACTCCAGCTCCAGGGGATCCAATACCCTCTTCTGGCATCAATGGGCTCCTGCACACACATGGTACACATAAACTCAAATAGACTCACATACATACAATAAAAGATTCATTCATAAAAAGATGAATTTTTTTTTAAGAATAATTACAAATGAATGTTTTCATTTTAAAGCTCTTTATAGCTTACTGAAATGCCCAGGCATCACACTGAAATTCATGTGGCTGCTGGGTTAGAGATTTGTTGGCTGCCTGCTAGAACCCTGCAGACTTGGGTCTGGTCCTTCACTTAGGAATTCAAGAAAATTGGTTACATCTGTGATCTCAGATCGACTAGATTTCAGGAATTATTCTTGTTAATTGCTTTATGAGAGATTGTTTTATAAACCAGAGGGCTTTTGGAATGAGTTGTGAGAGGTTAGTATGCTTTTTTTAAAGGTGTCAATGCATTTGGCAAAGCAGATAAATTATGAACTGGTGCTTGATGGATGCATAGGAGGAGCAAGGGGAATTGATCGTCTGGGGGAAAAGACCTGCTAATTATCTCTGCCCTGCTGCAAACTTCGACAGTGATTAAGTACTCTTGTCATCTGTGGCTTCATGAGTAACCTCTGAGCGGTTCCCAGTCTTCCACTTCTGTTTTTCCCGCCTCCCTTAATCAGTGTGGTTCTCAGACTTGCTCTGATTATCTTAGAGATTCAACATGAATGTAAGCCAAGTTTTTTCAAGTCCCTACTGAGAGGTAGTTCTGCACTGAATCTGATGTTTATTTTGATCTTCCCTCTAAACCATTGGGGCAGTTTTCTCTTGCCAGCATATGCATGTATGTCACGTGTTAGTAGAGTATAAAATTGAGTACATTTAAAAGAAAGCATACTGTTTACTGTGTAACTAACTTTAAAGGAATTTGGTGAAATTCTTGCAGGAAAGGAAGAGCTAGTTTTTACTTTTAAGTTCTTAAGGTTAGACCCAAGTTTAATAGGTGTTTGAAAGTGATGAAGATATACTCTCTCCCCTCAGGTCGTGGAGGTGTACGGTCTTCTCGCCTTGGGAATGTCCCTGTGGAACCAGCTGGTCGTCCCTGTGCTGTTCATGGTCTTCTGGCTTGTCTTGTTTGCTCTTCAGATTTATTCCTACTTCAGTACCCGGGATCAGCCTGCATCACGAGAGAGGCTTCTCTTCCTCTTTCTGACAAGGTAATTCACAAGAGCCTGTGGTAGTCAGGCCTTTGGAAGAGAAAACTTTGATGTAAGAAGAGTAAGCTGTGCAGATCACTTTATGTATATAATTTTTTTGAACTTTATTTTATGTGCATGAGTGTATTGGTTGCATATGTGTTGTGCAACGCCCGAAGAAGTCACAAGAGGGCATCGAATCCCCTGGAACTGGAGTTAAGGGTAGGCGTTGGCTGCCATGTGGGTGCTGGGAGCTAGCTGAACCTGGTCCTCTGAAAGAACAGCCAGTGCACTTCACCACTAAGCCATCTCTCCAGCCCCCAGTGCAGGTGATTTTTAGCATTTGTGTTATACAACCTCATATTTAATGAGATAGGCTTTTCATTCAGTGGGTGCCCAGGCCTGGCAGTGTGGAGACATTTGAAGCGTGGTGGTATATGTTTGACTGCCCTGAGGACCAGAGTACAGCAAATGATTTGTAGGAAGGTGTATAGCAACCTGTAAAAGTATTAGTTAAATAATTAGGTCAATAAGAGAAAAATGTGATTAAAGTAGTTGTTATGTTGAGTAATTTATGTCATGCTATTAAACATTTTCCCTCACGTTTAGTCTTTCCAGCAACCTTAAGAGATAGGGACCTTTATTACCATTTCCCATTTTATAGTGAGGAGACTCGAGGAGGAACTTGTCACGGGTGATGCTGTGACAGGAAGCACAGCTGTTGCTCAAGCCCAGTCTCAGTTCAGCACCACTGACTCTTCTATATACTTGAACTAATATTTGGCTTCAGTTTTTGAGATTGTCAAATAATTGTTAAAATGGGATGTATCATAGTGCTTTTGTGCTTAGTCCCAAAGAATTCAAATACTTGGCTTTCAATATTTAGGGGGGAGGGTGGCATGTATGTGTGCATGTTTGGGGGTACACATGTTGAGGCCAGAGGAGGATGTTGGGGGCCCTTCTCCATCATTCTTTGCCTCATTTCCTTGAGACAGAGTCTTTGACTGGACCTGGAGCTGGGCTGACAGTCAGCAAACCCAGTGATCCTGCCTGCCTTCCCCACAGTGCAACATTATATGTATACATAGCCATACCCAGCTTTTTATGTGGGTGCTGGGATCTGAATTCAGGTCCTCATGCTTGTGCAGCAAGTGCTCTTACCCACTAAGCCTTCTTTCCAGCCCTAGGTTTGAGGTTGTTTTGTTTCTTTTTTTGGTCTTTTAATTTTGTGACAAGGTTTTACTAAGTTGCCCAGGAGACTGGCCTTGAATTCACTCTATAGTTCAGGCAAGCCTTGAACTTGTGATCCTCCTGCCTCAGCCTCCTGAGTAACTGGGATTACAGCTGCTGTACTGCCAGGCCCAGCTAAGCCACATTTTTACCCATTGCCACGTACAGTCAAATTAGGTACCATATAATGGTTTTAATGGGCTTTACAAGTCATAATCTGTGAATAAGTTTGAACTTAACAAAGTAAGAAAATAATACTGAGTTTTTAGATACCTTGCCAAAATAATTTTGTTCTGTATTATTTTTCTAGATATAGCCCAATTAGATCAGCCTTTCTTGAAATGAAAATGTTTTGATTTGGTTTTTCATTGAAAATCTACCCTGTTGATTTTTTTATTCTTGTTAGAGTTGATCTCTGGCCTTCTTGATGCTTTTGTGTGTCTGGTTGTATTTAAACATTTCCTTGTCAAACAACAATTTGTATATAAAGAAGACTGGGAATTTATTAGAATGCCTGGACTATACAGGCCAACCAGAAAGCGTTCAGAAACACCTGAAAAACAAAATGATAGCTTTGTTGTTTTTGTTGTCTTGAGACCTGGCCTCTTGTAGATCAGGCTGGCCTTGAATTCAGTATGAGGCCAAGGCTAATCTCTGATACCTAATCCGCCTCCATTTACTTCCTAGGTGCTGAGATGTGAGCCTCTGAGCCTCTACCTTGCCCAGCAATTTTTTGGTTTTTTTTTTTTTTTTTTTTTTTTCAGTCAGGGGAAAAAAAAAACCCAAAAACCTCAATATAAATGTTTCCCACTGAAGAATGTTCAGGGGGGCGGGGTGTTCCACACATTTCTCAAATTTTTTCACTTCTCCAAAGATAGATTGAAACTTTTTAAACTCTTAGCATGCTTTCTTATGAGAAAATAACACCATATTCTTTTTTGACGTGAGAAAGAGAATATGTTCCCTTGCATATGTAACTGAATCATACAGTTTGGGTGCAAAAGAATTTTGTAAATGTGGATGCAAGGTTAAGAATAGAATGACCGACCCTTCAGTAAGACTTTTAGCTTTTTACAGTAAGAATGAAGTGAAATTAGCATTTTTCAGCTGTGACTTTCCTATTATAAAATTATAGATAATTTGCTTAAACCTTATATTCCATGTTGCTTTCTATGAGGAAAGTGTCAAATCCCTCAGAAATTTAGACCTTGCTTTATTTTATTTGCTTTCTGTTTGTTTTTGAGACAAGAGTCTCACTATGTAGCCCTGGCTGGCCTGGAACTCACAGAGATCCATTCACCTGCCTCTGCCTGGCGTTGAATGTGCGCAGCACCACATCCTGCTAAGACCTTGCTTTAGCCGTGTTGCTACATGTTGGATATTTGGTAAAGAGATAGAAGACATCATTTACAATGACAGTAAGATGTTTTAAGTTATTTATGGAATGATTGGCTGATACCACCACAGATTTTAGTTTTGAGAGTATTTAATGAAGAACTCATGAAACGTAGAGGTAATTTACAGATTTAACTTTCTTGTTCCAAGTGCAGAATTTGCATGTTGCCCTTCCCGTTTCTTTTCCAGCATTGCTGAGTGCTGCAGCACTCCGTACTCTCTTCTGGGCCTGGTCTTCACGGTTTCTTTTGTCGCCTTGGGTGTCCTCACACTCTGCAAGTTTTACCTGCAGGGATATCGCGCCTTCATGAACGATCCTGCCATGAACAGGTACGGTGTGCACTTGTAATTTAAATCCCGTATGTAGTCATGATGGATTTTAGAGGAAATGAAATTTTTAGGAGTTTTTCTCGAGTACTTGCAATATTGGACTTAAAGTACTATTAAAAAAAAAAAAGCTAAATTCCAATGTAAAAAGATGTATTTTGCAGGGTGTGGTGGTACACACATGCCTTTGATCCCAGCTCTCGGAGAGGCAGAGGCAGATTGGTCTCTATGAGTTCAAAGCCAGCCTGGTCTACATAGTGAGTTCAGGCTGGTATATTATGTATGCTTATTATGATAAATATTGGATACTTTTCTAATTTCTTTGAGAATTTTTTAAAAGATTTTATTTATTTTTATGTGTATGTTTTGCTCATATGTATGCAAGCATACCACATGTGTACCTGGTGCTTACTGAGACCAGGAGAGGGCATCGTATTTCCTGGAACTGGAGTTACAAATGGTTGTTAGCCTCCATGTGGTTGCTGGAAACAGATCCCGGGTCCTCTGGAAGAGCAGCCAGTGCTCCCAAACACTGAGCCATCTCTAGCACCTTTTGAGAATTTTGAAAGTTTGCCTTTTCCCATTTGAACAAGCTTAAGTGTGGACCTGTTAAAATTTGATTTCTGTTTGATATCTTCCAAGTTGTTTGTGTGTGTGAGCATAATTGAGTACAACTTACTGAAGTTTTAAAGGATGCCTAACTGAGAATGTAGAGTAGTTTTTTCTTGTAAAATCATTAAAATCAGGTACTGAAAAGTGTGTTTGTAGAATGTATTGTGGTTTCTATTTTTCTTCTTACAAGAATCTAATGATTTCATTTATACAGTTTGTATAACCCCTTCCTAAAATCCTTTATATAGCCCACATTAGGGTCTTTTAATATTTATTGCTTATAGTCCTTAATCTTACTGCCAACAAGTTCAAAATTAAAAACAAGCAAGCAAACAGAAAAGCTTAAGGGAACAGGAAGAAGGATTCATGTTAAGCTTGCAAAATCCCTGTTCTTTACAGGGTGAAAAGTGACGTCTCCCTGTCTCTCTGCAGGCCGTTCCTTTCCCCTAAGAGAGCTGTTCTAAGTGGTTATGTACACTTTTGAAAAAACTATACAGAGAGAGGGAGGGGAGGAAGGAGATTGGTTTTCATGTTATATAAATACTGTTCAGCACTCTTCCTGCAGCTTACCTTTCCATTTAGTGTTTTAGAGAGAGTTCTTAGGGTTTTGTTTTTTTTTTTTTTTCATGTAAACAGAGAACATAAAGACAGTATTTTCTAATATTGAGTACATTTTTTGCTGTGAGAAAATAGAGTGGCTGGGAGTATCTTTGCACATTAAACCACTAAATGGAGATTATAGTACCTGCTACCTATTTGCAATCTGATTTCATCCCTGCCCCATCAGCTCCCCTCTATCTGTCCTAACTCAACAGTTCCCTGGCTGGAATTCTTTAGAAAAAAATCTCAGATCCAGAATCATTTTACATCTGAGCATTTTGGTCTATAAATGTTTTGACAAAGACATAACTACATTTGAACAGTCAATAGAAAAGTTCCTTGGTATCACACCCAGGTGTTGAAATTCCCCTGTTGACTTTTCTTTTAAGCATCTTGCTCAACCAAAGCTCCAAATGAGAGCCACGTTGCAGTTGGTTGGTGTTCTGTCCATACTGTCTCTGTTCTGTATTTCCCTGCTGGATGTTATTTGTTGAAGACACCAGGTTGTTTGCCCTGCAATCTTTCAGAGCCTGGATTGTGCTGGATGCTTCCCATGGTGTTAGAGAATATATTTCACTATTCCTAGACACACACACATACACACAGTAGACCATCTATAAAGTAAGTTATTACCAGTAGGATTATTGAGTTGAAGGGTATGGCCATTGTAGATGTGTTAGCAATTTATCTTCATGAAGATAAATTGTACATATATTCTCAACACTGGTGCTCTGACTTTCTCGTGCATTTTTTCTCAGAGTGGTGTCATCATGCTTTGAAATATTTGCTAAGGTGTAGTCTTTAAAATGCTGCCTATCATTTTTCATTTGTGAGAGGTTTTTTAAAAATATATAAATATAAATTAAGCCTATAGAACATAAAGTCTTGTGACTTTGGTATATGTTATATTTTTCCATATGAAAATGTAATTTCATAAGGATTGTCTTTTTCTTTTGTATCTACTGATTCTTAATCTTTTTTGACAGTATTTTCTTCTCCAAGATCTTGAACACAGAATATATTTTATCTTTCTAGACAAAATTTTTTGCATTTATTTATTTGTGTTCACATGCACCATGGTGCAGGTGTGAAGGTCAGAGGACAGCGAGCAAGAGCTAGTTCTCTCCTACTCTGTGGATTCTGGGGATTGAACTTGGGTTGTCAGACTTTGCCACAAGCACCTTTCCTACTAAGTCACCTCTCTAGGCGTGCGCGTGCGCACACACACACACACACAAGTCAGGATGTAGCTCACACACACATACACACAAGTCAGGATATAGCTGATACTGTGAATCAGTATAATCCAGTGTATGTCTTTGAATAGCAGAAGGATCTGGTCACCAGTCTGGTTAGAATGTGTGTGTTTATCTGTATCTTAGAAGGTTTCTGTTTCCTCTCATTGTAGGCTAACATGCTTTTGACCAGGTAAGGATACATATGACAAATACCATCATGCTGATGTGATGGGCCATGCAGATTTTCTGCATATAGATAAGATTTTAGCCTGAATTGTCAGAATAGATTCAAAAACTATGTATCAGCAGTGGAAGCCTTTGGATTGTCTTGTTGGACTTAAATGATGTTTGGAGCATTTGCTTACTTGGGCACACATCTACTTCTCAGGGGGATGACAGAAGGAGTAACTCTGCTGATCCTGGCGGTACAGACCGGGCTCATAGAGCTGCAGGTGGTCCACCGTGCGTTCCTGCTCAGCATCATCCTCTTCATTGTCGTCGCCTCCATCCTGCAGTCCATGTTAGAGATTGCAGATCCCATCGTTTTGGCCCTGGGAGCATCTAGAGATAAGTAGGGAGCAGCCTGATACGCTTTGTCTTAATTCATACAATACTCTTTTCACATATCATCTAGGGAGCAGGGAATGCTTAAAGATGAAAAATGAATGGAAAGTTGATATTCACAGGGGGTAAATTCAGCAAGCTGTTTTTTTTTTTTAATGTGTGTGAAGTGCTTGGCTTTGTATGTGTGAGTGTACAGTGTTCGTGCACATGTGCATGACGTGTGTGTGCATGTGTGCGTACAGGGGCCAAAGATTGGTGTCAGTTGTCCTCCATCACTTTCCACTTAATTTTCCGAAGCAAAGTCTCCCACTGAACCTGGAGCTCATTGATTGATCCCCCTCCACTTGCAGAGCACGTGATGTGCTCATGCTTTCTGTGTGGATGCTGGGGATCTGAAATGTGGTCCTCCTACTTCTGGGCAAACGCTTTACCCACTGAGCCGTCCCTCCAGCCCATGTTTGACTTTCTGAGTCAGTTTTCTCTTCAAAATTTCTATAGTTAGAAGTTATATCAGAAGCTATTAAATCCTAAGTCCACTCTTCAGAGAGTGTTTTTATGTGTCTAGTTTCAAAAGAATAAGCACTTACTTAGCTCCAGTAAATATATCAGATGATAATGATGTTACTTTATTCCATATAATGCTAGAAAGGAGAGAGCACAGAGGACTGCCACCCACTGAGGGTTTGATGAGGATTCTTAACCTCTTCTGGAACCAAATAGAATTAGTAGCTGGATCCATATATAGCTTGCATTGTAGAAAAAAATGTAAATTGTATGTATTTTTAAAAATATTTTTTTGGGGGCGGGTGAAGGTTAAGACAGGTTCTCCCTGTAGCCCCTGCAGGCCTGGTCTATTATGTAGACCTTGCTGGCCTTGATCTCACAGACCTCTACCTATCTCTTGTCTCTTGAGTGCTGGAACTAAAGGCACGTGCCACCACACACAGCTTATATTTTTATCATTTTTTTAAATTAATTTTTTTATTCATATGTAGGATATGTGTGGGTGTGTGCAAGTGTACATGCATGTGTGTACTTAAGATGTGTGTGGAAGCCAGAGGTAGAAGTCACGTCAGTCTTTTACTGAGCCTGGAGCTCACTGATTGGCTAGACTAGCTGTAGCAAGCCCCCAGGAGTCATATATACACAGGCTGTTATAGACAACCTGTTATGTGGGTGCTGGAGATGAAATGAAATGCATTCTCGTGCTTGCCCATCAACCATCTACCAGCTAAGCATCACTTCAGCTCTCTATTTTTTTTTTTTTTTTGGAGAAATAAAACACAAACTCTTATTTCTCCTAGATATTATTTTGAGTACTGGGAGTATTTAGCTCGGTGGCAGCGTCTTGCTAAGAAAGCCTGAAGGCCAGGTGTGGTGGTGCACACCTTTAATCCCAGCACTCAGGAGGCAGAGGCAGGCAGATCTCTGTGAGTTCCAGGTCAGCTGGGGCTATAGGGAGACCCTGTCTCCAAAAGACCAAAAAAAGAAAAAAAAGTCCGAAGGCTTTGGTTCAAAATCCATCATCACAAAAACAAACAAACATAAAACTAATGATAATGTTTTGGCTTGTAGTTTATGTGAAGAAATTGTGTAAAGGACTGCTTAAAATTCAGTGTCACTTTTTTTGTTACTGAGTCTTCTATCCACATTTTGATTATTGATTTTAGAACTACATTTGAATCTATGGCTTGGAGCAGGCAGTCTCTCGGAAGGTGGTAGAACTGTGATAGCAGATTTCTAAAATATTCCAAATTAGCATTTTAATTACAGTTCATCGGATCTGTCTTTGTATCCCCATAATCTGTATTGCCAAGCTTTCTGTACAGTTTTTTTCAAATGATAGTGTTGTGAGCAAATCAGTTTAAAGAAGCTCAAAGCTCTTGGCTGTGTTCCAGTAAATCTCAACGATCGTGCTTAATTATAGTTATTGGATGGTTGGGTTTGAAGTTGGATGTTTTTCCACAAAGCCTGTAAGGTATTCAGGGGTGGTCTCAGTTAAATGGCTGTTGATGTGATCTGAAAAGGGGCTGCTTTGACCTAGCTACAGTCAATATTTTGTTGTCTCTGGCAGTTTCATTTATTAATTATATTAATTTTGCATCTACTAGTGAAACTGCTAAGATACTATAGAAAGTTTGTAAAAGAAAAAGAAGGAAAAAAAAAAATCCCCCAATTGTACTACCATAAGAACTAGCAGCTCTAGTTCTGCGACTTTCCAGATTGCTGAACTTGTCTGGGTGCCGGTTCTTTATCCAGAACCAAATTTGAAGGAAACTTGATGGAAAAGCAGCCAACACAGAAGCTTTGTGTGAGGGTCTGGGCAGTGGTTTTGAGTCGGTATCTGTGTTGTTAATGCTGACAGCAGCACTAGCCTGAGATGAGGGTCTGCCCCCTTGACTTAGAGGAAAACGTAGAAATGGACTCTTAGGTTCTTCTCTCCCCTACCACGACCTGTGGTAGTAAGAGTACACCAGCAGCTACAGTGAATAGAAAGGTCAGGAGAACCCCAAGTGACTGCAGAATTAGAACTCCCCCCCCCCCCAAATCGTGGGGCTGGAGAGAGGGCCGACCGGTTAAGAACATGGGCTATTCTTGCAGAAGACCCAGGTTCGAATCTCAGCACCCACATGGCAGCTAACAACTGTCCGTAACTCCAGTCCTAGGGGATCCGACAGCCTCTTCTGACCTCCGTGGGCATTGCACGACATGGGTGCACTTACCTATGTGCAGGCAATACATGCATACACATAAAATAAAATTAAAAACAAAAAACAAACCCTGAATCATTGTCTAACTATTGAGGTGGTAAGGAAGTTGATGCGGCTGCTTACCTTCCTGGCTGTGAAAGAAACTTTGGGCTTTCTTTGTCTAGGAGTCTGTGGAAACATTTCCGAGCCGTGAGCCTCTGCTTGTTTCTGCTGGTGTTCCCAGCGTACATGGCCTACATGATTTGCCAGTTTTTCCACATGGACTTTTGGCTGCTCATCATCATCTCCAGCAGCATCCTCACCTCTCTCCAGGTCAGCCTCGGGTTAACTCTTTTTCACTGGGTTTCTTAACATTTCTTCTTAGCAAACGAGTTGAATCTTTTCAAGATGAGCGATTGCAAGTGGCCATCACTTCCCCCCTCTATTAGAACGTATTACATTTGTTTAAGCACAAGAGTCTGAATGCAGGTTAGGAAAATACTAGATAGGCCTGTCTGAGTATCGCTGCGGTTTTCTTTTTCTTTTTCTTTTTTTTTTTAATTTATAAGAAACTGAACTGTTATAGGATCTTTTTTTCTGCCTTTTTTTTGAGACAGGGTCTCCCTGTAGCCCCTGCTGTCCTGGAACTCACTATGTAGACCTGGCTGGCCTTGAACTCACAGAGATCTGCCTGCCTCTGCCTCCGAGGGGTGCACCACTATGCCTGAGTGTTCTTTAATCAAGGTACAATGCCTTAGAGCTTGTTTGGAATGGGCTGTTCAAGTAAATGACTGCTCAGAAATGCCCATGTAATGTAAATATGTAACTCATATATTTCATACACACACATGAATAGCATGGCCGTAGAAATGACAGGCTTATTGTAACTTACAGGTGAATCTTGGCTGCCTGATTGCTAAAAACTAAACGAAAGTGTAGTGCCAGCACTGCTGGGAATAAATATTTCCTGTTGTTCCTTATAGAAATAAAAGTGTTTTGAGAGTCAAGGAACAAGATATCCGGTACCTGGATTACTAAGATCACGGCACTCACTAGCGCTGTCTCTTTAGACCCTATTTATTTTACGATAAACATTTCTTAGTGGTCTTACTCTGTCTTAAAATACCTTTTTTTTTTAATTTTCAGGTTCTGGGAACACTTTTTATTTATGTCTTATTTATGGTTGAAGAGTTCCGAAAAGAGCCAGTGGAAAACATGGATGATGTCATCTACTACGTGAATGGCACCTATCGCCTGCTGGAGTTCCTTGTGGCCCTCTGCGTGGTGGCCTATGGTGTCTCGGAGACCATCTTTGGAGAGTGGACTGTGATGGGTTCCATGATCATCTTTATCCATTCCTACTACAACGTGTGGCTGCGGGCCCAGCTGGGCTGGAAGAGCTTCCTTCTCCGCAGGGACGCTGTGAACAAGATCAAGTCGCTGCCTATTGCCACGAAAGAGCAGCTTGAGAAACACAACGACATTTGTGCCATCTGTTACCAGGTAACCTTCCCAATAGGAAGCTGTGGGGTGGGTCATCGTGTGTAGCCCTTGGGACTACAGCCACATTAACCAATTTTAATCTACATTCCCAGGCATAATTAACTCTGGGTTTAAAAAAAATGGGGCTCAGAAACTATTAAAGACCTGATAAAATATATCCATTTTACTTCTAAATTAAGTTTTTAATGTAGTCCCTCGAGTTCTAATTATTGTTGTTTTCAACATTATTGCTCACCCACAAATAAAGGAAAAACAGGTTAGGTGTATTTTATGTTTACTCCTGAATACACACAACAGATACACAACGTATATATGTACTATCAAATATATACCAGCAATCAGGAGTCAGCATCTTCTGAAAAGTGGTGTGCCAAGATTCTGACTCTGCTTCTAGTGTCTGCAGGGAGGGGAAGAAGTCTTCCGGCTCAGTGCTGGTGGAGAGAGGGTGCTGCTCGCCTTGGTTTGCTAGGTGTCACACAGTTGCCAGCCTTTGTAAGGAGCGTCGGTGGAGGCTCACTATTAGCGTACTGTTGAAGCTGGCCTGCCCACCATCCATGGCACTTTCACTGTAGAGAGCTGATGGTTGCCCTCTGTTACAAAAGAAAGATTTCAGTCATCTGGGAAATTTCAAAAGCTTAGCATTTGGTCACTGTTTGCCTGTTCAAGAGGGGGACCAAGTAGCAACTCTCAGTACTAAACTGCACTGCTGGAGGTGCAGGCAGAATTACCTGGCAACAGCTGAAACCAGGCTGTGTGTAAAATCTATCCAAATGTAGGCAGAAAGAGAGTCAGTGAGCATTCAGGAATCTTTTTTTCCTGGGGCTGCTTTATGGATCAGATGATGCGTGTAGTTATTTGTGTCTGTGTAAAACTATCAAGAATCTGAATTTTCTCCTAGGAAAATAATTCCCACTTTTAGAATGTGTGCTCAGAACCTACTTTCAGATACTAGTTTTCCCAGGTTGTTTTTGCAGTTGAGTGTACTGGGAGGTAATGCTGCCCCCCACCCCAGTCTAGCTGCCATTCTTAGCTCTGTTTGTTACAGAACTCTGCTCCCTCTGTTAGAGCAAAGCACAGCCCAAACAGAACTTGGACAGTCAGCTTCAGCAGCCAGCGTCTGAGTCTTCCGTGTTGGGGTCCGAGAGTCCTCTTTATGCATTTCCTGTTGTCACATCACTTTTTTTGAGGTGCTGGAACTACCTGCTGCTCACACATGGAAATTGAGAGTAGGCTCGCTTAGCTTGTCGGCTGCCCGCTTTGCTTTGGATGGCTTCCTGCTTCCCAGTTGACTCCAGGTGCCACCAGTTCTTGGCAAGGAAACAGAATCCGTGGTCGATTCTCCAAATGTACATCCTTAAAACTTTAACTTCGTGTCCTTAGGTCTCCCTAACTGTATCTTACTCAAGGAGCATTGTTGCTTTTGATTCCTGTGATTGTCAAGCCCAAGTGTGAACAAATCACAGGACAGATTAATGACTCCTGTTTCAGTAGGTCTGGGGTGGTTGAGAACAGGTTGTAACAAGTGAGTCCAGTGCATGTTGAGGATCACTGGCATATACAGACCAAGTCTTAAAAGATTCCCAGTCGCTACATTGGCTCTAATTAAATTGCCACTTCCTTGCCAACGCCCTGGTGTTCGTGGCTGATTTCTGTCTCCTTGTACGTAGTCCTCTCGTGGAATAATCCACCTGCATTGAAGCGTACTTGTGGAAAGTCCTGTCTTCATTCAATTTTCTGCAGTGATAATTGTTCGTGTCTTATGCCAATGGCTCCCACTTGTGCTGTAGCTGTGTAAACTTCGCATTTTGTGTTTAGGAAAACCCTACTAAGAATAGTTTCTTCTTCAGTTTTGGAATTTGCCACTCTTTTGTCTTAATTAGCCTGTGGTTCTTCTGTTACTGTGGAAGGCAGTCTCTGATAGCAGCAGCAGCAGTAACTGCATCAGATGAGTTGTAGTCTTAAATCTGTCTTAAAGATTTTCTGTTACAAAGACTTGTTGCAGCCAGAGATTTCAGGGGTCGCACTGGCAGTTTTGATGGGTGGCCATGCTGAGGTGCCCTTCTGGCCTCTCTTTCAGGACATGAAATCTGCTGTGATCACGCCTTGCAGTCACTTCTTCCATGCAGGCTGTCTCAAGAAATGGCTGTATGTCCAGGAGACCTGCCCTCTGTGCCACTGCCAGCTCAAAAACTCCTCTCAGCTCCCAGGGTTGGGGACAGAGCCTGCTCCCCAGCCTCCTGCTGGAGCTGAGCAGAACACCGTGCTTCCGGAAGGCCCCGAACCTCCAGACCCTGAGCATCCTGCAGGGTCTGCGATACAGGACGGTTCTGGGGACAGTAGTGAGCACGTCACCAGAGGACCAGGTAGCCAGGAAGGGACTGTTGTCCCCAGAGAGGGTCCTCAGAGTGCAGAAGATGAAGCACGACCCTGTGAGTCAGCCTAGAGGAAAAAAAGCAGGTGCAGAGCTTCGGTGCTCTGGAGGATGTGGCTCAGGTTGGAATGCACGCTCATACCTGAGGAGTGAGGGGATGAGAAGATTGGCTGGACATTGACATTCCAAGGATCTACTCCAGGCGGCGCTCCGAAGAAGCTACCTGCTTTCATCCCCCTTCACGGTATAGGAGAAATTAATCAAAATGTATTTCTGTGTTCTCTGCTGATGTTTTATAGAGGTTTGCCAAGAAAGTTCAACCTCCTTCAGAAGTGGCCCCTGATTTGTGAGGGCTGATAAATTCAATCAGGTGTGTGTTCCAAAGGGGCTCAGAGGGTCAAGAGCAGGAGAGCAGTGTGGGAAGAGACAGGCAGGGGTGGAGCCAAGGACAGGATTGGTCTGGTTATAAAATGATAGCGACCAGCCCTTTTCTCCACCCCCACCCCCTTTCCTTCAGTTGTTCGGAACTCGGTCAGGTGATTCTGGAATTTTGTACAACACTGCAATGAAATCAAAGATGTAGAAGCATTGATTGTATTCCAAGATTGAAGCGAGTGTACTTTCTGTGTGCTTCAGAGAAGGGGGTGGGTGGGTGCTGGGCCTTGCGGGTGCATTCATGTAACCGGAGACTCCTGAACTTTATGATGGGGTCGTCATTATTTTGATGTATATGGAACTTTTGTTAATATAGTGTATACTTTGTTGGCTGTGTGACGTAAACTAAAACGCCGATGAACACTTTGGAGTCCACTATAACAAAGGAGGCCAAAGTGGGAGGGGCTTTAGGGCACTGATAAAGGCCCCTGGTGTACTTACCAATCCTGTGTAATGTGTAATTCTTGAAACTGAATCAAAAACAGTATTAAATTATGGCAATATTTGCACTTTGGGAATGAGTACATCAGTGTATGATCACACTCTGCAAATGCCACTTTTAAAGCTGTTAATAGACTTTTGCACCTTTTCTTTGACAAGGATGTGTCATATTTAAATTTTTACATTCATCATGGCTACAGGTAGAACCGGGGAGGGGGGAATGTAATTTTTTATGGGAATTTTGATATGAAAAGGAACTAGTCATTTATTTATACAATAGACTTGGCTCAAAAAGTGTTTTTCAGACTTGGTATTCCTAACGTGGGATGTGATTTTATTTTTTTTTAGTAGCAAATTTGGATGTAGACCGACAGACATAGCTGAATGTCTTAATAAACTTAAATTTGAAGATAACCGTGACTTGTTCCTGTGATATATTAATTCTGACAAGTGTGTGGCAGTCCATTCCAACTCTCTTCTTTACCTTGCTAGACTGCGTGCAAGGTCACAGTTGCTCTGCGGATGGCAAGGCACTTTGGGGAGGATTTAAAAAGAATAACTAACTTTTATTTTTTGACGATCTCATACATGTAGGTAATGTGTCTTGATCACATGTACCCCAGCTCTCTCCTCCTACAGGTACCCCCAACACATCCCTCCCCACCCTGCATGACCTCCCTTTTTCTTTTGGTACCCTGCTGAGTTGAGTCAGTGCTGCCAATCAGTGGCTTATGTAATTCTTAGGCAGGCTTTGTGCAAATGACCACAGCTGGAGCAATCTCATGAGCGTGATGACAGTGTCTAGAAGACAGAATTTCACAGTGCTCTCCTCTCCCCTCCTCCCCATCCTCTGGCTCTTATAGTCTCTCCATCCTCCTTCCACAGTGCTCTTGTTTGAAGTCTTTGTACCCTGGTGGTAGCAAACTGCACTGCCTATCATATGTGCTTTTTAAAAAGCAAAGGGGAACAAACCTCACCAAAAACATAAACCAAAACCAAAAAACACCATTTTTGGTCACCACCTCAGAGCTACTAAATCCGCCTTCCCAGGTGATATTCTGTACAGCTACATGTAGAAACACAGTGCCCAGATAAGAATCTCTCCCTGGGTGAAGCTCTTTCCAGTCCTTCTGACATCCATGCTGGGAGCTGAACGGAGAGCAGATGGTGCCCTCTAGTGGCCATGGAGCTGTTCTCAAAGCCCGGTCGTGCGCATCTGGAGTTGGGTGTGTTCAAGTTTGAAGCACTTTGGTATGCCACTTAATAACACTGTAGGTAAAGTCTAAATCATTTCTGGCATGCTGAACGTGGTTGTCTGTTAGCACTGAGTATCTGTGTGCTACCTTGTTTAAACCTGTTTACTGAAGAATTTCATATGGTCATAAGGAAAATTATCCAGATATTTTAAAGTGTTTTTAAAAAAGTATTTATTTTTAAGCTGGGCATGGTGGCAGGTGGATCTCTGAGTTCAAGGCCAGCTTGGTCTGCATAGTAAGTTCCAGGCCAGCTGGGGCTACAGGGAGACCCTGTCTCAAAAAGACCTAAATAAATAATTAAAATAGCATTTTTATTTTATGTGTATGCGTGTTTTGCCTGCATGTATGTAAGTGCACTGTGTGCATGCAGTGTCCATGGGGGCCAGAAAAGGGCGTTGGATTCCCTAGAACTGGAGTTATGTTATGGAAAGTTTGTGAGCCTCCTAGTGGGTACTTAGAACTAAACCAGTGTTCTTAACCACTGAGCCATCTCTCCAGCCCCTACCTAGGTATTTTAAAACAGGTATTGAGACTTTGGCATCGGTTTCACATTATATAATACACTCTGTACCAAGTCAGATGAGCTCAGCAGTCTTTAAACAATGCAGTTATGACTGTACACCCTTTGTTTCAGTCGGGAGAGCTGACTCATGCAATGACAAATCTGAACATTATCTTGGTTTTAAAACAAAAGCTTACATCTCATGCATATACACTTCGTGTATTGGTGTTGTAGGTGCAGGCTAGAGCCTTCCTGGTGGTCACAACAAAGGAAGAGGTCTGATTTCCCTCATAGGCAGGGCTGCCAGCACCTCTGCTTGGTGTCTTTGGTCAAGACATTGCAATGGCACTCACAGTAGTGCCAAAGTTGGCTTCCATGGCCTGGACAGAGGGGCTGTGATTGAGCAACCCTAGATTTTTTAATATATGTTATTCAGAACTTTGGAGCACATCTGTGACTTGTTTATACTTAATTTGTTAAGCCTTTTTCTAATATGCTGGGATGGTATACATATGCCATGCATATATCAGACATCTGTTTTCTAGTATTTTTTTTACATTATTTAATATTTTATGTGTCATGCAATGCCTGTGGAAGTCAGAAGAGGTGTCAGACCCCCTAGAACTGGAGTTACAGTTGGTTGTTAGCCACCCCATGTGGGTGCTAGGCTTTGAACCTGGGTCCTCTGCAAGAGCAGTTAGTGCTCTTAATCCCTGAGCCATCTCTCCAGCCCACATTATTTATTTGTTAATGTGTGTTTATGAGTGAGCATGTACATGCCATAGTCAACATGTGGAGGTCAGAGCACAGCTTGAAGTAATTTGTTCTCTCTGCACCATGTAGGCCCAGGGGATCAAACAGTCTTGGTGGCAAACACCTTTACCCACTGGGCCATCTTATGGAGATTTGCCCCACTTTTAAAATTACATTTATTAATTTATGTATATATGCATGCGTGTGGTCAGAACAACCTGAGGGAATTGGTTCTCTCCTTCCGCAATGTAGGTATTGGGGATCGAATTGGGTCATCCGGTTTGGTAGCAAGCACCTTTACTCAGCCAGCAGACTGGCCTCTCATGACTTCTTGTAATACTTTCCAAATCACAGCATACTTTGACTTAGGTGGAAGAAGAAATGAAGTTTAATCATCTAGTTAATATGAAAAAGTGAGAAAATGCAATATCCTTCAATTATACTTAGTTACATAAAGTAATCAATTCCTATATTTCCTGACCATGTATTGTCCTGTTTTATAGACTGTTTAGTTTCTCTTGTGATCTGTATGTTCGTGATACTTTGAAAAAGTTTTATCACCCTATGAACCTTGACCTCCAGTGTTCAACAATCTAAACCCTTCCTTACATTGGTTAATATGTATTTCTACTTTGTGGAGTTTTTCATTTTCCAAAGCTTATTTCTAGTAATCTAAATCAGCCAGTCAGCACAAGAATTCCCCAGGAGTTTGACTTTCAGATGCTGGATTGGCTATGAGGCTCTCGGAAGCCCCTTGTTAGTGTGGATATTTCTTCTTGAGAACATGCAGTGGTTCTTGAATACTTCCCACTAGAAGTGTTCTGCCTTTAAAGTCTTAAAGGATGTCACATTATGAATTGATTCACTGGGAAGGAAAAACTTTGTAATTTCAAACTAAGGGTAGATGATAATGGAACCTTTAAAAATTTAAGAAGTAATAAACTATGTGCCAAATTTGGGGAAACATGACGAAAAATAAGTTTTACACTTGAGTTGCTTCCACACTGGATTTTGAGTTTAAAAAAATTCCAGTTTTAGACTCAGAAGGCTGATACACACACACACACACACACACACACACATATATCTGTCCATACACACATATATATCTGGTTTGGGCTATATCTTAAAGATATGCTACGTGCTTAAACATTTTCATGTTTTTGTATCTTGCCTTTTATTTGGAAAACCAAGTATTAAAAAGAATAAAACTTACATATCTCATTTTGGAATTCAAGTGTGATGGTTAGTTTTTGTCCACCTGATATACCTGGGAAGAGGGACTCTCCATTGGGGAATTTTTTTTTCATCAGATTGGCTTGTGAGCATGTCCGTGGGGCATTTTTGAGATTGTTAATTGATATAGAAGGGCCCAATCCATTGTGGGCAGTGTCAGCCCTGGGCAGGTGGGCCTGGGCTGTATAAGAGCAAGCCACTTAGCAGAGTTTGTCTGTGGTCTCTGCTTCAGATCCTGCCTACAGGTTCTTTTGTATAACCTGTAAGCTAAACCACCCTTTGCTCCCAAAGTTGATTTCAGTCAGTGTTTTATCACAGTAACAGAAAGTCAACTAGAATATTTGATAATAGCAGAATTCACCCCACCTACAAGCACACTTTACCCAGGGGCACTTTTTTTTTTTTGTAGCCCCAGCTGACCTGGAACTCACTATGTAGACCAGGCTGGCCTTGAACTCACTGAGCTCCATCTGCCTCTACCTCCCAAGTGCTGAGTTTAAAGGTGTGTGCCACCATGCCTGACACACTTTTATATCTTTTTAAGAAGTCTGCTGCGCTTGAACTCACAATAGTCCTCCTGCTAACAATTCTGGATCCCAAGAATACTTTTAGCACATGCTCTGTGTATCAGTCCCAGCTACTCAAGAGCCTGAGGCAGGAAGCCAGCCCGCCCTCCCTCCCTCCCTCCCTTTCCAGTCAGCTTTGGGTTTTATTGTTGCAGTGACATCAGGCCTTGACCGTGAACTTGCGCAGTGGGTCCAGCTATTCCTTCCACTGCCACTTCTTGGTTTTCAGCTTCTCCTCGTGCTTGGTGAGCCTAGCGCACATGGCTCTCCTCTTCCTGGGCCCCAAGTCCAGGGCCTTGTATTTCTTGCCTTTATAGAATTTCCTGAGGTTTTCTTCCTGAGTCTGGTTAATGAGGGCGAGGATACCAGCAGTGAATTTGAGCACAACTTGAATATTGGAGAGCTTGAACATCTCACTGCCTGTCACTTTAGGATGTCCAGCTGGGACAGCTCCACCTTCAGATTGCCCAGCTGTTTCAGCAGCTCTTCCTTCTTCTCACCACGAAGGTCTCAATCTATTGTGAGTTCAAGGTCAGCCTGGGTTACAAAGGGAGACCCAGTATAGAAATAAAATAATTTACGGTGATAGATTAATTGTAGGTGATGAAAATGGAAACCGGAGACAAGCTGTAAGACTGTAAATCAACCTTGGCAATTTGTCAGAAAACTTTCTGATGCTATCCCTTACCTACAGTTCCCTAGGACGTCCTGTACAGTAGCTCTCACAACCCAGGGTTCCATGTAGAACAGTGTCTGAGTCAGAACAGATACTAATGCCCTTCAAGAAAATAAATATGTTGCATATAGAAGCCAAAATAAAATCACTTTTATCATAGAAAGAAGAAAAAAAATACAATCTTAAAATTTCTAAGGTCATAGTTCAGTCAACTAGTTTAAGGAACAAAATATATCTAGTCAAAGATTATCTGAGAATGTTTGTTTTTTTTGCCCAAGCCTTATCTACATAGGACATGATAATTAAAAGTACCAAACTGGTGGAACTAACCTTATTGGATGTTTAACAGCCGTAGTTTGAGGCCTATACTAATGAGGTCAAAGGGCCTTAAAGGACAGTTTTTGCCCCCTTGCCCTCCAAGGTCG